CTTAACGAAAACAATGACTGATGAAATGGAAGTTAAATTAAAGTTGGCATATTTAAAATTGCATCTTGCACTATTTACTTCCTTCGGACAGTTATCTGCATAGGCATATTCACAACGTTTCGGTCGCTGTACGCTACGGACTTCTTCAGGTGATTGGAAAGTCGCACACCGAGCCCTACATATGCCTCTTCCGGGTGTCTCAGTTACTTCCCTTTAAGACAACTCTCCAAGTTTCGGTTCAACACTGCTGTGGCCTGGTATTGAACTCAGAACTCTTTTAGTCTAATCATCGGATCTAGCCATTAGGCCATGTATCCTTAGGGACATCTGCGTATGAATTTTGGGGAATTATAAAATTAACGTCTCAGCAACTAATATTTTACCAGTGCTCATATTGCAATTTTTGTTTTGTTATTATTATTTCATTTTTTTTTTTTTTACCTGAGTTTATATTGGAATGTTTTGTTGTTATTCATATTACCCCATGAAAGGCAATAAAGCCACTAAGACTGAAGAGTTTACTGAGTATAAAAGAATACGACAAAAAGAGAGGCATTATTAAGGAACAAGAACAATAGATGCCTAATCAAGAAGACGGTAGATAACGACTGAAATCTTTGAAGATCAAAGTTAGCTGGAAAGCATGGAACCAGCAGAGAGTTCCACAAGCGAGAAGTATGAGAAAAGAAACTGTTAACATAAAACTTACGGTTACATCTAGCCAATTCAACTGTAAAATGATGAGACCTAACTGTCAATCTAGTACTGCGCTTAAAATCATAAAATCTAGGTAACAAAGAATAATTACCATGAAAGTATTTTATAGAAAAGGTAGAGGGAAGCTACATTACGGCGTGGGAAAGTTAAAGAATCCGAGATGCCAGGTCAATACCAATAATATTGCAGATTCTTCTTTGGATTTTATCAAGAATCTCTAAATATATAGCAGGATCTCCGGTCTATATGTAGCAGTAATATTTAAGTATGGATTGATGGTAGACTTATAGATATGTAAGATAAATTCAGGAGAGACAAATTGTCTAGCATGACGTTGTGAGCCAACATTCTTAGAAGCAGAATTAGCAATGATTTCAATATTTATTATTTGAACTTTTTTGTCTTTTCTTTGAGTTAAGATGACAGGGCATGCTTATGTAGATTTAAAAGGAAATAATGATTTGAAAACTTGGAAACACGTCCTTAAAAGCGATAACTAAGCCGTAATAACGTTAGAAATTAGTTTAAACGAGATTTATAAAAATGGGATAGTAGGCTTGAGGAGTTTATTTATTTTTTTCTTCCAGTACTGATAATTGGTTTCAGTAGTCATTTAAATGTTATGTTTAGAAATAGTTTTAGATTATAGAATTTTAGTGTAGACAACAAAACAAAACCGAAAATGATTAAAATAAGGAACCAAACCTTGTTTCGCAAACAACAGAAAGTGTTTAAGTTTAAGAATATTAAATTACTTCCTGGGTTATCCATGGAAGCTGCTATCCATCCGATAAAGGAAAAAAAAGGAGCCGGTCCCTTCGTGGACCATTTAAAAATTCAGTCCTCACAGTGGATTGGTTGTTACGAACATCCAATCAACTGCGCGGAAAACGTTGTCTACTTTCGTCCAATCTAGTATAAAGGTACGAGTCTCTTCTAGCGTTTGATAGCGGAGGAGGAATCAGGCTTGATCAGCTCTGATTGGAGTCGGCTTGGTGATGGAGTGTATGATGTTAAAATACCCGAAACTTCATGATGAACCAAGTCAATTTACATCAATGACGACTCCCTTCAGCGTCCTATTTAAGAGCGTATATTTTTAAAAAAATTGAGTCACCAATATCAAGAAATCAGCAAGTACAAAATATCTAATAAATTTCTTCACTGACGACAGCAAATGTCACATCGTAATCCCAAAGAGCATTGGAATATTAAAAGATGCCTTCCAAAAGCTAAGTAACGAATCAAGAAACAGGAAAATATAATTGCGTCCTTGTTTGGAAGCATCTGGTATCATTCACGGTTGAACAGGACAGGTGGAAAGCCAGGCTCTTACGGGTCGTTATCCTGCTACTGGTAAAGAACTGTTATTGAATTGACCACCAGGAAAGGGACTGCCTATCACTTGGAATTATTTTTTATACCTACCCTGAAACATTACATACCTAATTCTTTGGGAATTTTGACTCAGGATCTCAGGCTGTATGGTTAAAAATTCTTCAGGAATGCAGGGCTGAAAGGGTTAAACTATAAACATTAGGTACAGCAAGTATACTTCTAAAAGCCCTGTCTGACTTGCTTGTTCCAACTTGATAGGCAGTCCTTTCCCTGGTGGTCAAGTCAACCACAGTGCCATGATACACTCATAATAATAATCGTCACGTTTTCTTGACAGCCAATTTGATTATTCAGTTGCAATTACCAGAGAAGCAAGAAATCTGAAGGGAGTTCCACAGGTGGAAAGTGCGAGAAAAGAAACTTAGAATAGAAGTGGTGGTTGCATCTAGTTATTTCAAGAGTAAAATGGTGAGACCTATTTATCAATCTAGTATCGCGATTAAATTCATGTAGTCAGGGCACCAAAGAGAAACGTTCAACAGAGCAGCTGCTATGAAACGTTAAGTCGGTGAGAAAGTGAGTGAGGTTGAGATACCCACTCAACATCGATTACACTACAGACCTTTTTGAACATCAGACCACATATGACCATAGTATTCAATGCACAGACGATTGGCATTCATCACTAGGATTAAACCGAGTGCCTCAATCACTATTGGAATGACTTCAACATTATTCTCCAGCATTTTCCACAGTCTGGCTGTTTCAACCTTCCGCTCAAAGTAGTTGCTTTTTTTTTTATTTACAGGTTTGCATTTACCAGCAGGTACGGCCGCCTGTTTTATATAATTTTATTACTTGGCATTCATTTTCAGTTGTGTTGAGGACGGCCATATCTGTTCTTCGGTGTTCAATAAATCGATCTTTTTGAAAGTCATTATCCCAGACTATCTTCGGCTTGCCTTCTTCCATTATTTTCAAAGACACTTACTCGTAATAATAATAATAATAATAATTATTATTATTATTATTATATTTCGATTCGTGCTGTGGTCACATGACCTACCAAGTCTGTGGGAAGTGAGGCAGGTCGTGATGTGTTGCTATGGCTACATTTCATGATTTGTTTTTTTTTTGTTTTTTAACCCCCATAATATTACTAGCGTTACATGAATAAATTTGTTCTTAGTGTGTGGATTGTACTTGCCCGGGGGTACGCGCTTGGCACCTCACCTTAAAAAAGACCTTGTGACACAACTCATCTTAGTGGGGAGACAGTAAATACAGTGTGTGTGGATTGTACCTATCAACACAATTCTTTCTTAAACTGGAACCAGATCAATTTTATTCTGTAAAATGCTTAACTAAAAAAATTCCTAAAAATATAAAAAAAAGTTATTTCTTTTTTTTTCTTCAATATATTCGTCCTTTGATGATTTTCAAGAATAAATCTATCAATATTTATAAGTCTACCATTCGTCCATGTTTTGAGTATGACTGCTACATATGGCCCAGTGCTCCTGGTATATATTTAGATCTGATCATATGGCCTGATGATTGAGTCTAGCATGAAACAGCCTGTCGCCTCTGAATGTTGACTTCAATGTTCAATTTTATATTTACATACGTTCTGTCTCTCGTATTGAGCACTTTATCCCATAAATATAGCACACTTTAAGACTATATTTCTTCATATATATATATAATATAATATGTTCTTTTAATAGATACAATTTATCTAGGTAAATGCTCTGTTTTTAAATAAACAGCATTAATTACATTTACGGGCCTTGAATGTTCGAGAAATTTCGTAGAAAATATGTACTTCTGCAACAGGAATCGAACATATAATCCTTATGGGGAACATCATTTGATCTGATGGGCTGTTAACCATTCAGATACAAAAAACGACGGTTAGCAAAGTCTAAATTACTGTCTATAAACAACAAATCTTCAACGATCTTTTCCGAAAGATCATATCTGCACACAAAACGTACCTTAACGTAAACATTGACAACATATTATGAAAATGGATTATGTCAGACAATCATAGTTATTAAAAATTATTTAAAAAATAGAGCATTTACTTAAATGAATTGTATCTTTCTCAATGATCTCGACTAATTAGAACGCGGCTCTCCGAATCCCCAATATATATATATACATACATACATATATATATATATATATATATATATATAGTTTTAAAGTGTGCTATACTTATGGGATAAAGTGCTCAATATCAGAGATGGAGCATGTAAATATAAATATAAAAGTGAACTTGAAGTCAACACTCAGAGTCGACAGGCTGTTCCATGCTAGACACAATCGTCCGGCGGCCTGATGATTGCGTCTAGCATAAAACAGCCTGTCACCTCTGAGTTTTTTGACTTCAATGTTCTTATATATATATATATATATATATATATATATATATATATATTGTTTATACTTTATTTTATGAGATACAATTTATTTAAGTAAATGCCTGCTTTTTAAATAAACAGTATTGATTGCATTTACAGGTCTAAATATTCGAGAAATTTCGTAGAAAATATGCATTCTCCAACATGAATCGAACCTGTGTCCTTTATGGAAACGTCAATTGAACTGACGTTCTATAGCACTCAGCTATAGAAAAGCGTCTGCTTTGAAAAGTTCGAATTACTATTTATAAACAACAAATCTTCGCCTATATTTCCCGAACGATCATATCTACTCACGAATCGTAAATTAACGTAAACAATGACAACATATTATGAAATGGATTAAATCCGACAATAATTTAATATATTTTCTGTTCATACGTTATTTTTAATAGATACTAATTTATTGAAGTAAATGATCTGTTTTTTAATTAAAAAGTATTAATTACATTTACCTGACCATGTCCCTGCTGTCACCATGTTTGAACTTCTTTAAGACCGTTTCCCTTTTCTTACTGGTTGAAACACCGTCTCTCATATGATCACCGAAGTTAAGCAACGTCGAGCCTGATCTGTACCTAGAGGGGTGACCGCTTGGAAACAACATGTGCTGTAAGTTTGGATGTGCGGGTTGTGTAATAGGATTACTGTAACATCACCTTGAAAAACTGGTTTCCATACGATCGCTGAAGTTAAGCAACATCAAACCTGATCAATACCTAGATGGGCGATCGCTTGGATATACCAGGTGTCATATGCCTGGATGTGCGGGTGGTGTAATGAGTGGTGGCTCGGAATTGTTAATCGGAAAGCCGTGTTCTAATTTCAGTTGGGTTCGTTATATTCAATTAGGCTCAAATACATTTGTGAAAGGTATGAATCCACCTCTTCTCCCCTCAGCTATGGGTTAATTAGTTATACTTGTATCATTAAGTCATTATTATCTAAAAAAATATTCTCATAATCAAAACATATTTTCTGGCTTTAATAACATACAAAAAGTTGATAAGCCGAAGAAAATGAATTAATCTGTCAATCTTTTTTTACTGCCTCTGTTGAAGCCTTGATGTGAAGCTTGTCACCCTTTGCCGTCATTTATCTTTCTTTCTTTTTTAAGGCACATCGTTTTTTGTTTCTTTTGTCTTTTTTTCAATAAACAAAAACCCAGTGTTTTATTTATATGACGTTGTTTGATCATATAAGAGTATATTTATTCAACGGTCGCTTGACATGCAAATCTGCATACATGTGAATATTTAATTTTTTTTCTTTCTCTTTTGCAGGAACACCAGGTAAGAAAGGCATTTCTGTGTTGAAAGAAATCGATCTCTGGTGAGAAACTTTTTTTTTTTTTTTTTTTTTTTTTTTTCTTTGGCTAAGCCTCAGAAAATGATTAACTGCTATCTGAAAACAAAATGTCATTTGTCATATTCGGAAGTTATTTCTAGCTGTAAAAATTTAACTTTAACTTTAATCTGAGTTAACGGTGTTCTCAGCACTGTCTTCAGTGCAGTGTTAGGGAAATCATAGAAATGTCTGTAAAGTTTATACACATAATTATTAAATTACAATCAGCCACCTGTAGAACATCATTTACGACCTCATCCCTCTTGAGCGAGGTTTCAATACGCCGACTGCAATTCCAGTAGAATTTTTTAAAGCCATCACCTGAAAGATTATCACCTGAAATAAAAACGACCAATATTTACCACTTAAATGATTACCTAGACAAGTAAATTCATGCAGACCCAAAAGTAAACGATGAATATTTACCTATCCTCAGACCATGTAAATATCAACAAAAGATCACTTTGAAAGAAGGGAAATCTGTCCACGGGCTTATATTGTCCTAGTTCCACGTGTCATACCTCTTCCCGGTGTCTCAGTTATTTCCCTTTAACTCATTTCTCCGAGTGTTTTGGTTCAACATTGCTGTATCCTGGTATTGAACTCACAAATCTTTGGGTCTAGTCACTGGATCTAACCAACGCCTTTATCCACTAGGCCATATGTCCTTCAGGAAATCCGTGATTCAATTTCTGGGACTTATAAACCTGAAGTCTCAGCCAACAATTTTTTACCAGTGCTCATATTGCAATTTTTCTGTTATTATACTTGCAAATTTTTTTTTTTTTACCAGATCATGTATTCATTTCTATGCTTGGTCAGCTCAGGAGATTTTAGTGGCCTAACATATGTGCTGATTCCTTAAGTTTTCGTGTTTTCCAGTGATATTCTCTGTCTATTATTTCAACCTCATCCCACAGGGGAGCGGTGATCTCCCTTTTCTCTCCATATATGGTCAGCTACGCCTGATTGTTCTATTTCCCTTCGTGTTACCGTTTTAAGATGTTCTTGTAGTCTTACTTTAAGGAGGCGGCTTGTTTCTCCTTTATATTTCTTACAACAGCTGCACGGGATGTCGTACACGCAGTCCTTAGTCATGTTCTCCTTTATGGTGGGGGTCTTGCTTGGAAGAAGTGTCTGCGAAGTTTTGAACTACTTTTGACGGTCATCCTGATATTATACGTACCACAGATCTTTCGTATTTCCTCCGATAATCCTTTCGCATAAGGTAGGCAGACTGAAGCTGTTTTCTGAATGTTGTTATCCTCTTGTGCACTTCTATTCCAGTTGGAGTTGCTGTCAAGTACCCGGGATAGTTGTTAGATTTTGGGTACTGCTTATACTGACTATTTCTTGTTCATATGTCTGTGGTCGCAGCAAACGATCCATTTCTTTACACTGTATGGGTGGTGGGAGTTGACGTTGAGGTATTGTCTGGTGAATGTTGGCTTGTGGTATGTGGATGTCTTGAACCCATATTAGTACATCCGGGAAGGCGAGTTTGTTGTTGTTATCCATTGTGAACTGTATCGATGATCTTATTGAAATCACATGATCAAGAAGTAGCTGAACCTCTTCGTGGTGTAGCCAGAGTATTAAGGTGTCATCTACGTATCTCAGCCATAGGGTTGGCTTCAGTGATGTAGATTCTAATTCCTCAAAGTATTCCATATATAGGTTTGTCATTGCTGGTGATAATGGCGAACCCATTGCTAAGCCCTCATCATGTCAATAGATACCTGATCTCATTCCAAAGTATGCGTACAGAAAGTCAGCATCTCCATCAGGTTATCTATGGGTATACTGGTCCGTTCTCCCAGGGAGGAGTCCGCGGCGAGTCTGTTCCTGACTACCGAGGGTGCCTCCTCCGTGGTTACCTTGGTGAACAAACTCACCACGTCCAGGCTCACCATCTGTTTGGATTGGATGGGAGAATCTTGGATCATTTCTGGACAGAGTTCCGGGCATTCCATGGTGACTTTCCTATTAATGGCTCGATTATATCTACAAGGAACAGACTCAGAGTGTGGCACACAGAGCCTTGGCAGATAACAATCGGCCTGAGCGGAATACTGTCTTTGTGAATTTTTGGGAGACTGTATATGTGAGGTAACTTGGTGTAACGCTGCGACAACTGCTTATACATCTTAGGTGCGAAGTGATCTTTGTTCTTGATTACTATCTGTGACAGTTTGCGTTTCAATTTCATTGTTGGATCTTTCTTTATTTTACTGTAGTTACCATTCTCAATGAGGTCTTTCAGTTTTTCTGTATATGCGGTTTTGTCCATTACTAGAGTTGCATTGCCCTTGTCAGCTGGTAGCATGATAATGTTTTCATTCCACTCTAGGGTTCTGATTGCCAGCCTCTCCAGTTACCTGGTGTTTAATTTGGGCGGCTTAGCTTTCACCAGTATCTGTCTTACTCTCCATCTTATTTCATCCGCCCGAGACCGAAGAAAGATAAAAAAAAAAAAAGAGAGAGAGTTAAAGGGAAATAACTGGGACATCCGGAAGAGGCATGGCACGTGGAACTAGAACAATCTACCCACCACCCCGGTCTACGTAATAAAGGGTTCGATTCGAAATTCCAATCCCCTGTAGAATGCCAGAGCGTACAACGGCCGAGACGTTGTGAATATGGCAATGAAGATTAGGATAACAGTCCGAATAATGTAAATGAATTTCTGCTCTTATCTAAATTTGATTCACGAATCCTAGTTCCAGAAGTAGGGACTGGCTTCATGGGACTAACATTGACACTTCAGCAGGCAATGATAGTTCGAAGTGATAGGCTGTGATTTGAAAAGCCGCTGATTTGACTGCAAGTAACGGTAAGAAGAGTGATTGGAATAGGAATCGCCGAACATGGATACGGCGAGACTGAAAGGCTTATTGCACGGATTTAGAGCTGAACAGATTAACATAGAGAAATAGATAGATGCATATATATATATATATATATATATATATATATATATATATATATATATACACACACATACACACACATATATATATAGAGAGAGAGAGAGAGGGAGAGTGAGCAAGATAGATATGAAGAGATGGGTATATAGATATGAGCAGAATTAGATTTTATTAAAGTAGATAGATAGATAGATAGATAGATAGATAGATAGATAGAATGAACGTGCCAAGATAGATATGAACAGGCTGAGATAGATAGATAGATAGATAGATAGATAGATAGATAGATAGATATGGACCAACTAAGATATATGCATATACATACATACACACACATATACATATATATATCGAGAGAGACGGATATATTGATCTGAGCAGAATTAGATTTTATTAAAGTAGATAGATAGATATGAACCGACTAAGATATATGCATATATATATATATATATATATATATATATATATATATATAGAGAGAGAGAGAGAGAGAGAGAGAGAAAGAGGAGAGAGGGTGAGGGTGAGGGAGAGTGAGCCAGCTAGATATGAACAGACTGAGATAGATATATAGAAATGAACAGAATTCGATTTGATTAAATTTGATCAGATAGATAGATAGATGGACTGACTGAGAGAAAGAGAGATATGAACAGAATTAGCGAGCTAGCTAGCTAAATAGATAGAATGAACGGACATAGATAGATAGATAGATAGATAGATAGATAGATAGATAGATAGATCTCATTATTCGAAGAGGCTAATTTTATTTATACAAGCATAGATTTAGTTACACCTACAGGTGAAAGGATATGAAAAAACATTTCCCTTCCAATATGGCAGCATAATTCCATTAATATTTGTAGCCAGGGGCGAAAACAGCATGAGGTTGCAAAAGCTCTTATTCAAATTGTCTTTACTGTAGATAAAATATGAAAACAGCGTACCAGCTGACATGGCATAGAAATGTTGTCTCGCAACTTGAAAAACTTTTCCCCTTTGAGAACAAGAGGGTTAGCACCGAAAATCTACTCGGCAAAATAGTATCAAGAAAATATCTATCAAACTGGGATTCGCAATTGTCACCAAGAAGAAAGGCTTGTATTAATGGGTTCCATTTCAAAGAATTCCCATCTTTATTTTAGACATATTTAGTTTAACTTGAACGAGACAGAGGCTAGCGGTTTGAAATTATTAGATGACGTAAAATGTTTGTTTTCGGTTTATTAAGTTAATGTAAACTATTCAAAAAGAAACTATACACTAAAGTATTGAACAATATATATATATATATATATATATATATATATATATATATATATATATATATATATAGTACAGGTAA